ACACTGAGGGTTGCGATCCGTTGCCGGACACGGAAAAAGACAAAAAAAAAAAAAAAAAACACAAATATATTTAAACATGTACCTAACATATTGATAAACACCCATTTCATTTGACTCCAGCAGCCTAAGAACAACTTATTCGGCAGCCTGTTGAAAGCCCAGGCTTGGGCTGGGGCTCATCTCCCCTGGCTAACCATGGTTGGTGAGGAGGCTGAACCGCATCTCCATATTGTGTAAACTCCTGCAGAGCTCTGCTTACCATGACAACAGACAAATGGTCCCTTTGATTATTCAGATCGAAGGGTGCTTAAGGCTTGCTACGCAGTAAATGCTTCATACAGAACATAGGTTTTGGAAAAGTTGCTGCTTAAACTCAGAGATGGAGCTCAACACCTAACCCTTCAAGGGAGTGCACCATAAAGACCTGTTTGTGGCTGTAGGTTCACCTCACCCCAGCCCTGTCCCCTTTCAATCCACTGGAACTAAGCAAATCAGGGCTCGGTGAATGGATCTGCCTGGCAACTGGAACTTAGTCAACACCCAAAAGATAAAATAAAACAAACTTCTCAAGTCTTTTAGAATCCAGAAGATGATATGCTCTCTATTCCTGAGTTTAGGTGGCAGAAATGAAGCAACGTGGCCACGTTGGAGAGAGAGCAAAACTGTCCCTGGCTCCCATCTCACCACACAGGTATAATATCTCACTGTCCTGCCCATGTGGCCTCACGTTGTGGCCCTGTCACCTATAATGACCATTTTGTCTTTCCACTTAAAAGGGGGAATTAAAAAAAGTTAGACAAAGAATTACCATATGATCCAGCGATTCCACTTCTAGGTACTTATCCAAAAGAATTAAAAAGCAGGGACTCAGATGCTTGTACACCCATGTTCATGGCAGCATGATTAAAAATAACCAAAAAGGGGAAGCAACCCAAGAGTCTATCAACAGACAAATGAATAAAGAAAATATGGCATATACATAATGATGGGATGTTATTCAGCCATAAAAAGGAATGAAACTCTGATACATGCTACAACACAGATGAGCCTTAAAAACACATGCTAAGTGAAGTAAGCCAGACACAAAGGGACAAATATTGTCTGGTTCTACTTCTATGAGATTCCTAGAATAGTCAAATTCATAAAGACAGAAAATTGAAAAGAGGTTACCAAGAGCTGGGAGGAAAAGGAAGAATGGAGAGTTGCTGAATGTGTATGAAGTTTCGGCCTGGGAAGCTGAAAACGTTCTGGAGATGGACAGTGCTGATAGATGCACAACACTGTGAATGCAACACTGTGAATGCACTTACTGCCACAGAGCCGAACACTTTGAAGTGGCTAAAATGGTGAATTTTATATTATATATTTATATTTCACCACAATTTTTTTAAATGCCAAAAAAAAAATACACATATACAAATATAAAAGAAAAACAAGGTGTGTTTCCTTCCCAAGTGCACAACACTTACAAAGTAGCAGATGAAGGAAATGGCAATGACCAGCTACATTCCTCAACCATAGCAAGTGGTCATTTTCTAGAAAACAGCACCAAGAAAGGAAACCGTCTCACATTAACAGCGGGGAACTAGACGGCTAGTGATAAGGTTACTACAAACAAGCATTTTATGCCTTGATTAGATTCAATCCATGTGACCAAGTTTGTCGACAATGGATTTGATAGACTGTCTGCAGCTTTTCTGCCATTAAGGAAGCATAATTTTAAAAATCAGATTCCTCATTCCAGCCAGCACCTTTGGTTATGGCCTCAAGAAAGCACTGTTTAAAGCAAGTGTGGACATGCCATCCTTCAAGTGACTGCAACCGTCAAGTGGTGGAGGAGGGCTTTGAACGAAGTCCCCAGTCCCTTTATAACACTCATGATTGCACAGACTCCACCTCAGTACAAACAGAACCTCAAATGGCAAGTGGGTTTGTTCCAGAACAATCGATCAGGCTTTCTACTGGTCTAAATCATGCCAAAAAGACAGATGAGAAGGACCCAGATGGAGGCTGAGAAGGGCACATGGTTAAGCACTACTGCCCTGGTTGTCGTCTTAAGGCTAGGCTGATGCCAAGCAGGGAAATGTTATATTTAAAGGGAACACATGTACGGGACATCCTATAAGACACATGTCCAGGACTGTTCAAAAAGTCACTGTTATTCAAAAAAAAGAAAAAAACACTTGGGGAAATTATTCTACATTAAAAGAGTCTATAAAGAAATAACAAATGTAGCCAGTAAATCAGATCTTAGTTTGTAAAACAGCAAAAACAACAACTATAAAAGACAATCTTAAGAAAACAGGGCAATTTAAATACAAACTGGATATTAGGTGATATGAAATTATTGTTAATTTGCTTGTGTGTGATAATGAATATTGTGGTTATATAAAAGAATATGCTATTAGGAGAGGCTTATGAATATACTGACGAGTGAACTGTCACCCTGCCTGCAACTTATTTTCAAATAATTCAATGATCTCTCTCTCTCTGTCACACACAGACAGACAGACACACACACACACATGGCAAGAGAAAACCGATAAGTTAGAATGGTAACACTTGTCAATTCTGGGAGAGGATACACAGGATGGTGTGTGTGTTGAAATATCCCAATTATCGGTATGAAAATTAAGAAACAAAATGCACTCCTTCCCCTCCCCATAGAAAAGGGAGTAAGTTGTATCTCGCTGTGTTGAGCTTTATCAGAAGCCACCCTCTAGAGCCATGCAACCCCTCTCCTTAACAAGCTAGTGTGCTTGAAGTCAGGTGCCAACCAAAACACCACATGCCTTGAAATGGCTTCAACCCACCATAATTTTCTGAGCAGAACAGTGTCCTGCAGCTGCCTTGGAGTCATAAACAGGATGTCTCAGCAAGGAAGTGTCTGTCAGGGGTTAACAATAGCTCCACCCCATCTGGAAATCTGGGGAAGCTTTAGCACAACAGAAGGAGAAATGAATTGGCAGCCAGATGACCCAGGCTCCTGCCCCACTCCCATCACTGACTGTGGTGATCTGGGGCAAGACTTGACCCTCTCCAAATCCCTCTCCCCACACTCCCAATCAGCCCTCTGATTCCCAATCTAAAAAATGGGAACAATAGCACTTTCTCAGTGCCAAGGTTATTGCACTAAAACCACAAGGCAGCAAACTCATCATTCTCAATCACGTGAAAGCAGAAGTGTTTCTTAAGAGACTTAGATTCACGAGGCAGAATAAGATGGTCATAAACAAAAGGACCTTTAGTTAAAAAAAAAAAAAAAAAAGTGAGGTGAAGGCCTGGCGTATCTTTAAGGATTCAGCCTACATGTCCTTGGTTCTGAGACCATTCTTCCCAAAGCTGCATAATAATCTCCAACACCAGAGGACAAGCCTTAAATCCAACAGGACCCGCACTTACCTCTGCCATAGGCCCTGGCTTTCTTTGGGTTGAGTTTGGGTTTGAGAGGAGCCCCTGGCTTGAGCTTGGCTTTGGGGAACTGGGACAAGTAAGTCATCACTGAGTGCTCATCCACATCTGGGTGAATAATTTCTTCAGGAGTGATGACCTGGAAACAACAACATGGTGGATAAATGCCCAGAACATATCACTTTGTAACTACTAAAGGTTTTGCAAATGTCTCTTAAACAAAACTCTACAAATATTAAGAAATTGAGTCAGTTTCTCAATTAAGTGAAATTAAATTAAACTAACACACCAAGATCAGTATTTTTAATCTTTTATTGGTATCTCCCTGCGATAAAAAGCACCAGAAAACATTCTGATGATTAGCTTGCGGGAACAAAGTAGCTACTAGAGTTTGAATGGTCGCCTTCAATACATTCCATAAAACGTAGGATGTACATAGACTTGCCATTTCTTCCCAGCAGCTCCTTCAACAACCTTACAGTGCCAACATCACATGAACGTCAAAAGGAGATGGAGTTATGTTTAAGAGAAGATGTAAAACATACCACACCACTTCCTGAGGGTGGCTGAGCCAAGAGACATGATTCCAAAACCAAACCAAAGAAATAGGCAAGCTTTTCTACCTTTCCAAGGAATCCTGTTACGGAATACACTGAACTCATCTCTGAACAACAACTCAGACCTGAACAGAGCCTACAGCGAGGTCATTCAATCCTATGGCAATGGCTACCTACAACTTCTGTTGAGTCTTGGTGCTTAACTGTTGGGCAGAGTTTTTAGAAGGAAAATACTGGTATTCTTCCAGCTAGAAAGACTGGACCTCAACTAAGTGATATGGCTACTGTAGATAGCATGCGAGACTTAATTTCCAAGTACTCTTATTATATTCCTATGATAGGATTATGGACAATACAAAACAAATTCTTCTACAACTTCCACTAATGGTAGGTTATCCTGGTTTACATTTTTTTAAAAAGTCTAAGCCCTATGACTTTCCCTGGGATTTTGAATTAAAACTTTCTTTTTTTATATTATTTTTTAAATTTTATTTTGTCGATATACAATGTGGTTGATTATTGTGACCCATTACCGAAACCTCCCTCCCTCCTCCCTCCCACCCAACAATGTCCTTTCTGTTTGCTTGTCATATCAACTTCAAGGAACTGTAAAAACTACTTTTTTATGTAGGTAAATAATGGTCAAATACTGGCAATTTCTTATGGCTCAACCTAATAGTTAAGGTCCACATTTGCAGTCTGAAGTTTAAAGACAGACTTCAAAATATTTGGAGCAGAAATAATAGAAAACTTGCCAGCACGTGACAAAGAAGGGTAACATGAAGATTTCTGGATGACCTACAAGCACCTAAGTCAATGAGAACCTATTATTATGGGTAAACTGAGGAAGGCGGGAGAGCACCACAGTTAACGCTCTTTGAGGGCTGCATGCAAAGAACGTCAGACTGCCTGCCTGACCCCAAAAACAAGTGCCAGAACAAGCCAGTGAGGGGAGGAGCCTTGTGGGACATGGCGCACTTGTACGTACCTGTGGGACACCCAGCCAGTCGTCAGCCTGCTGCATGGCTTCTCGTGCATTATCCACAGGCTTTCGTGGATCCCAAGATTCCCAGTCTGGGCACAGACCTGTTAACATAACACAAAAGACTCATTTAGCGTTAGCTGATGAAGAGATAAAAGGGAGACACTCATGTGCCTAAACTAAACCAATCTAGTCTCTTAATTCAGAGAACAATTGCTTCCAAAAATCTCAGTGAATTACATATTTTATGGGCAAAAAGTATCACAGATATGAATGTGCCAGGGTAGAAACTACTCTACATTAACTGAGACTTCTTTACATTGCTATCTTCTTGCTTTAAGACAGGGATTACCCATTCCTTGAAGATGTAGTATAAACAAATAAAGAAAGCTTGTAAAACCTTTTGGGCCTGGTGCCTTTTTGCAGGAGAGATTTATTATTTTTACCCTATTTCTGGATATATCTAAAAAGGCTGGACTCAAAAATTCACTTGCTCACAGGCACAAACCTAGAATTATCTTAAAAGACTTTGTAAGCACAAGAAGTATAGGACTGGAGTAAAAATCCCAAGGTTTATACTGGAAACAGATATCCTAAAACATATCTTTAGATGGAAGGAAGGAAGAGGGCACTAAGAAATGAACTAATGCTGCATTTTGAATTATTCCTGTATGACAGCAACTTACAGGCTCTCAAGGAAGAATGAGACCTTGAGTCAGCCCTCCGTCCCTACCCAACGGACACTAGCTAGTTCCGCTTTGAGCATGTTGAGAACCACTAGCTTATTAAATACTATTGTGCCCAGTACATACAGAGCACTCAGTAAATGGAAAATATAATTATTAGGGTTTTTTATATCAAAAACAATTTTGGGGGATGTATATAAACACTAGCTGTGGTTTTACTATTAAATGTGTACCAGCAAACTCTACCCTTCAATCTAAACCCACCAGTGAGGATAATTACAACCTTGGTGTACACTCAACCACTCAGAAAAGAGGAGCCCACCAAGAATAGAAAAGGCTCCAATTGGATCCTGACCAAATACTACTTCACAGCAACATAGAAAAAAAAAAAAGGGTGCAGAAAGCCATATATAGTCAAACCAGTGGTTAATAAAAATGGGTACTTTCCACTCAAAGCAAGTTTTTAGATTCTCATGCCAAGCCACCTAATAGGGCCACATGTTTTTGCCAAAGCCATGGGGAAACTAGGCACCAGTGTGGGAAGACAGAACTTTGGAGTCTGGAAACTAAACCCAGGGCCTTCTCTAAGCACAGAGCCTTCATTGGGAATTTGGGTAAACGACTGAATTCGATGCTCAAACATGTCTATGGATACACCTAGAAGACCTGCCATTGGAAGGGTAAACAGAGGCATTTTTAGTTCCATTAGCTTTCTTACAATAGGCTAAACCCAGGAGAAATACATCAATCAAAGCAAAGCTAGCTTTCCTGTTGAAAACAAGAGGTTTAAGGCCCAACCCTCCCAGCCATGGGCACTTACCTGGAGCACAGCTGTCAACCAGGGCCCCCAGGGCTTTGCCATCTTGCCAGTTCTGGTTAAAGTTGGTGATGGGCAAGTAGGGAATCTTGTTCTGAATCCATCCCAGCAGCCTCAGCTTGGGCGTCTGCTTCTTGGCATCATCATCCCCTTCATCCTCCCACACAGGCATGGAGATGGAGTAGTGGAGGATCAGCGTCCACACCATGCCCAAGATGAGCTTCAGGTTCCCATCCACAATGGCTTTGCTATCTGCGGGGAGAGGCAAAGGCTTGGTCATTCCTTTGTGTTACACACGTGTGAATTGTGCTCTCTGTAAAAAAGTGAATGAAGTCCTCACCTGTTAGACAATTGCACTGAGATATTTAAGAGTGAAAGGATGTAATGCTGGAATTTGCTTCAAAATACTTGAGGATGGGAAGAGATAAAATATGATTCCAAACCATTGTTAACTAGTGTCACTGGACCTTGAGTACTTGAGAATGCATTATACTATTGTCTCTACTTTTCTGTACGCTTAAAGTTTTCTATACTAAAAAGGGCTTTAAAAATTTGGAGAAATCATCTCAAAAATACAGACAATAAAAAGGGAATCTGCACCTCAGAGATAACCACCTGCTAACCTGGTGGTACACAGTCTACCAGGTTGTGTGTGCATCTGTGTACACGCATGTGTATGTGTTTGCTGCCCTGAATTTATGTTATACTATACCATCGGTCTTAACATTTTTCTTTTCACTAACCATTATGTCCTACACATCTTTTCCCTATAAAAAGTTGTTTGTGCTTACACTCCCATCTACAGGTTTAAGAGGCCAGTTTCCCCTCAAATCTCACCAATGCTAGGTGTTACCAATTACTTTCATCTCTGCAACTCTGACAAGTCAGTCATTCAGGAAGCCATTAATAGTTAAGCAAAAGCAATTGGGCAAAGTCTCTGTTGGATAATTGCAAATCTCACCAATGCTAGGTGTTACCAATTACTTTCATCTCTGCAACTCTGACAAGTCAGTAATTCAGGAAGCCATTAATAGTTAAGCAAAAGCAATTGGGCAAAGTCTCTGTTGGATAATTGACTAGCCAAAGTCATGGCTAGTCATTTCTATTCCTCCCCTGCTCAACAGAACAAGCCACACCCTGAGCCAGCCCTTCCAGGAATCTCACGGACATGTTTCCACTTTCTGCTCCCTTTGGCTTCTCAGTGGCTCCCTGTCCTCCTTCCAACCTCCATATTCACCAACCAAAATACAAACACCTTCAGGATCTCTCTCTCTTTCTCTACAACCCCTCCCCATCAGACATCCTCCTAGCAGCCCCACATTCCACTAGGACCCCAAGCTGAAAACATCAGAACCATCTTGGACTCCTCCTTCAAACCCCTGGTATAGTTTCCACAATGTCAATTCTCTCCCTACCTAAATCTCTTGGCAAATCCTTTCCCATGCCCTCCCAATAAACATGTGGGCTCTCCTCCCCTCTCTCAGAGTCTCTGACAGCCATGAGGCTGAATCACTATACACAGAACCTCAGAACCATCTTTCCAGTCAGGTAGCTCTGTGCTTCCAAATGCACTTATGACCCCACTGCCATAAACTTCTCAAACACACAGCATCTTCAGAACCCACACAACCCCCACCCAGTTGGCTGTTCACCCCTGTCCCCCCACCCACCATACTCCATACTCCAGGCTCAAAGACTCCCCATCCCTGAACTGCATCCTGCTTTGAGCCCCTGGACCTCCCGTGTATTTTGTATCCCTTTGACAGAAGGCCTGTCATTCCATCCTCCTGTGGGACAAACCCTGGCTCCTCATCCAAATACTGGATCCTAAAGTGGGTGGCACTTCACTCCCACCATGTATGTGTGTTCCAGGCTCCTCTCCCTTAAGACTCCAGAACTGTGAATGCCTGTTGGAGAATAAATGGGCCTTCTTCATCTTGGATTTCCCCCCACCCCTGCCCTGTCCCTTCCACCCACCATGAGCCACCTGAACACACACCAAGTTGCACTTAATGAAACCCACCTTCAACCACATGAAAAACATACATGATGGTGAGAATGCATTTTTTAGAAATTAATCTGATTATTGTTACATCCTCTTACAACGAAAGACCCTCTTTAAAACACCACACCCAAACCCACAGAAATCAGAAGTAATGTCATAGTTTCAGATTCAGTCATAATAAAACAACATAATAAAATCATCTAAGCTGGAGAACATAAGATTATCATTAACTGGCTAGTAGGACAAATTAAATTCGAGCAGTCCTCAAAGTTAAGCTGCCCAGGGGTTTTCTACATAATGAATTGTACAATAACTTTGAAACAGGCTGTCCACATAATTCATGGTGCCAGTAAAAAATGAAAATGCAGGACTCCCTGTCCAAAAAGCACTAAGAATTTCAAGATGGCTACAGCAGAGCATTAAACCATGTGCAGGGGCCTTCTGAGCACACGTCATGTGACAATGAAGCCAGCCCTGCTTCTGAGGTCCTGTAGTCAACAAAGCAGCAATGTTCAGCATAAAACCCTGGACCCTGCACAGAACATGGATATCCAAGGAATACATCCCACAGGACCCACCCCACTAGATAATCCTCTAGCTGGCGGTCCTTGACCATGACAGAATTTTTTGGATTAGGTGTCCTGTTATGAGGTTGCCTTTGAGGTACTATTGATTACTGAGTAACTGCCTACTGATCATCAGAAATTCCAGATCAAGCAATTTTCCATGCCAGTTTCCTTTATTCAAGATAAGGGGGAAAGAGCAGTCTTCAAACGGGTGGGCAAAATAAAAAAAGGAAGTAAAGCGTGTATATGCTTATCACCAGTCAGCGTAAGGGTGGTGGCCTGGCACCCCCAAGGCACTGACCTCTGGTACCATGGGGGACTTGAATGGGCTGGGAAGTCTCATCCAGCCACAAGCATCAGAGTCTGCAAAACTCAAATTTTCCCAAGTTACATGTTAAATGCTTTTCAAAAGCAAACTTTGCAGATTTAATTCATAAACCAAAACACGAAACCAGTTTGCTCTATTCTTACACAACTAACACACGTTGGTCTGAAGGAGACGTGAGTCTTTTTCAAAAAGATTTTGGGGGAAATATGACCCAGTTAAAGTCTGGGCCAAATTTACGAAAAATACAATGCCCAGGACTTCTGTTTCCAATGAATTCAAGGTGAGTGTCCAAACGGGAAAGCCCCCATCACGGTCTCATTCAGATAAATGATACCTTCATTTGGCTAATTCTGAGAAGCTAGAAGGAGAGCAGTCCTCATTCCAAGTGGTTTTGACAGGTGAAGGTTCAAATGCCTCACTCAATTCTTGGAACAATAAAAAGATGGCGACTTGCCCAAAAAGCCTCCCAGCTTCCCATCCCTGTGAAACAGGAGACTCTCCATGCCTTGAAAATGAGAGGCTACACAGCATCGCAGTGTCAGTGTCTGGCCATCACAGCAGATGACAGAATTTTCAGGCCTGAGTATGCTCTGCAATGTTTACACCAGGTGTAAACATGGACCAGAATGTAAAAGGAGAAAAAGGCCAGATCAGCCGGAAGCCTCTCAGCTGGATTCCGAGTTAAGAGGCTTGAGGGCCTCTGTCAGGAATAAAATAAATCAGTGCCCACCACGCCTGCCTAACCTCCTAGAATCTGCTTAGATTTCAGTGGGCTGGAATCTGGCCGTGGGTTTCTCCTCCCCAAATCCAGCCAATCACAATTTCCACATAACTGGCCCTGGCTCCGGACAACACTGACCTTCAAACCACACACTTTCTCAAACTCCTTAAAATTATCCAGTGTTGTTTATGAGGGTGGTGGTTTTTGTTTTGTTTTAAGACCTAGAAAGTTAATTTGAGCTACCACAAATTCTGGGATGGAATGTTTTCTCGTCATTTCTGCACATCAATGCCTCGATAAGAAGCATTCTGGACTGGCTGCATTTACAGGGATGAAAACCAGCTATTTTAAGGCAAACTTCAGAAGCATCTTGGAAACATCTCCTCTGTGGATGAATTCCCCAGAAATCAGGGAGATGGTGGCCTTTCACCTCTATCTACTCATATCAGGAGGGGCCAAATCCATGCAACCACCTGTACACCTACTATGTTCCAGCACTATACCTCCCAGGGAGTTCCCAGAAGCCAATTCCAGCACCTTCTCTCCTGGCTGTTACCCATTAACCAGGGTGGCAGGGGTGGTGGCCCATGAGGAGAGGCATGGGTGGATATCACTCCACACGCTTACTCTTCTGGGTGAGAACAGCAGCTCATCCTTCGCCACAATGCAGCCAGCTGCTGGGTCAGAAAGAGCCAACAAGTGACTGCAGAAATTGAGGAGAAACAGGGGTGTGTGCTTGGACAAGTTACCATGGCCACACTCTGCACTATGACTTGGCCATTTGGAGGACAGGATGCCACACACTCTGCTCTCCACCTCTCACCTCCATTACCCCATGAGGGGCAGTGCGGCAGGGTGGTACAAGAACAGACACTGGAACCAACATCTCAACTAGATATGTCACTTGAACAATCCAGTCACCTTATTTTTCCTCCTCTACCAAATGAGAAAGACCACAGTCAACAACTTCACAGGATTGTAAGGAGTAGGTAGGTTAGAGACCACCAAGAGTCAAGGCCTGTTACACATTAGGCACTTAATAAATGTTCCCTCCCTTCCCTCCATACTCATTCACCCAATATTTGAGTACCTGCTATGTGCCAAACACTCTCCATAGAGCCAGAAGCCAAGCAGCCATAATCCAAGTGCTGTATGCAAGCAAGAAATGAAAGGAAGTGCCTTGTGAATTATCAGGTGGTTGAAATGTTCAACATGTTACTTCTTGAGCCAAGCACTTCATTCAGAGGGCCGTGACCACAGCCTCTGAGGTCCCCGCTCTTCTGTTTGAAGGGGAGGCTGACCTACAACACTGCAGTGAACCTGGGACATGTGAGGTCTCTGCAACAAGGCCACTTCTGAGCTGGGCGGTCTAGGAGACCCGCGGAGAGGCACCAAGAACACCCAGGAACTAAACTACTGATATTTTATCAGACCTTCCTGAAAGAGAATATGGGACCAAGCGCAGCCCACATGGGCCGGGGTGGCCCCTCCCTCTCACTGCCCCAAGCTCACCCTCAATCCTTGGGCCCCAGGCCTCCCCATCCCCTCTGCTGGCCTGGCTAATGTCTCTTCTACATCCAGTTTTGTCTCTGCAAAACTAGAACAGATTCCCTGGTCAACACTCCCTCAGTG